TTGCCCATTTCCTTGTGCATAAAACACAATACAAGTGTTTAGTAATTATTAACTATTAATAACAATGGCACTAACTCTCCAGTGATTTACTCTTAAAGACATGCTTTATTGAATGACATTACCTCTAAAGTTCATGTTGCCCTAACTCAAGCTTTTCACCCTCCTCTCTTACCACAAGCAGCTATATTGTCAAGGTTATTCTAAAGAGTGATAAGGCAGTCATAAAACAAGGTTTATGGTATTTTCATATCTACAAGCCACAGGAAGCTTAAATGTACTTAGAAAATATTGCAAAATCACGTAGGACCATTAAATGTAACACAACCCTTTCTTTAAAGTTCTCTTTCTTTTGCTCTCTCTCTCTGTATAACACCCTATATTATCCATCTGTTGTATGTTAATGTCAGAGTTAATGAGCTTTATATTAGCAGTTTCTCTTTAACATTCCTGATTTGTCTGACTCAGTCGACAAATCACCCATACTAGGGTGATAGAGTTAGGTGCATTTAAAAGAGTAAGATGATAAACCCTTGTGCAAAGAGTGCATATATTACATGGGTATATTATACACTTCTTAGTAATAAAATAAGCTAATCTTTATTGCATACTTATTATAACATTACTTTGACCCTCTTGGTACTTTTTATCTCAGTATTTTCAAGCGCTTTACAATCTCAAATAGACCTAATGTATTTTATGCACAAAATCCTTTGAAGTTGATATTTGCCTTTTCTAACCAGCATGTTGTAAAGAAAATTAGCCAAAAAAAAAGTCTCTGAGGAGTCATGATTATAGGTTAACATGCAGATTCCTAGGCTCTGCCCCAATTTTTCTGAGTAAAAATAGATAGAGCATTTCTTAAAACAAACCCCCCAGGTGCTTGTGAAATAATTGGTCCAAGAACCACACTTTGAGAACCAATGATTTAAATACTTGATTGTATCTGTAGATAAATTGTGCTGAGCAAATTATTAAAAATTAAAATAGCAGTATAGGATGGCTTCAGAGAAAGGTTTTTCAGGGTCTCCTTCAACAAGAAAATTAATTGATCGTGACTTTTATGTTTATATTTTATTTATTTTAAGATATGTTTTTTATTGAGGTATAATTAGTATAGCATTATCATTAGGTGCATAACACAGCAATTTGATATTTGTATACACTGCAAAAATGATTACCACAATAAGATTTAGTTTAAAAAAATCTCAGTAGTTAATTTTTTATATAAGAAATCAATTTACATTCAGTTCCATTTAATGATTTCCTCTAACATTTAAAAGATTTTAATTATTTATTTTTAGAGAAAGGGGAAGGGAGGGAGAAAGAGAGGAAGAGAAACATTAATGTGCCAGACAAATATTGATCAGTTGCCTCTTACATGGCCCCAACAGGGGTGCTGGCCCTCAGCCCAGACATGTGCCCTGACCATCAATTAGACCACAGACCTTTTGGTTTACTAGACAATGCCAAACCCATTAAGCCACACCAATCAGGGCCAGCAATTTTTATGAATAGCTGCAAGGGAATTCAAGAGAAGTTGCTGTGCAAAGGAAGAGAAAAAAACATTTGTCTCTTTGTGTGCAAGGCTTTGCCTAGCAACTCCTGCTTTTAGGCTTCTTTTTAAACTAATGAGAGCACCAAGTGGTATAATTTTGTTTTAGATTATAATTTTCAGGGAAGGAAAAATCTGCTGTGAAGACTGAAAACCAACACACTTAAGATAAATGCATTACCAGATTTGAGTGCTCTTAGTAATCAGCAAAGATAAATGTTTAACAGTGTACACAAAATGAAGTGGTTTATGTTAAATCAAATAAGAAAAGCCAAACACTAATAAAGAAATCTACAAATGTACAATAAACTAGGTGATCAGAACGAGTGCTCACATTAGCAGCAGGATATTGGTATTACTAAATGCATTTGATTTTAAAATAATAGACTTATTCACAATCTCTACAATCTACCTCCACCATTTTGTTTCATTTCAACCTCAGTAGCTTCCTATTAATTACAATCTCTGAGCTACTTGTTAAATTATCTGAATTTGCACACTTAATTTCATACATGGTTTCAGTCTAGAAAGGAGGCCAAAAACATTGCCTCAGAATACTAAATCTTTTCAGACACAGGGATTATTTTATTTTAATGCTTTTTAAAAATAATCTTTCTCACTAGAGTCTATTCTAAATAGAAAACATTCATATGACAACATCCCTCTTTTCTTTGTATGTCTATAATTAAAGTATACTTTAATTGTTTACTAGTTTATGACCTATATCAAAATGGTTAATTAAATCTTTAGATGTTATTTGGTATTCTCAAGGACTGTGGCTTATCTTCCAAACTAGATTTAGAATGGCTGGGAGTCAAGGACTATTTCTGATAAATACCAAACTTCTTTTACAATGCCTACGATAGTTGTTGCCACAGAAAGTTCATTAAATGGAAGAAATGATTACACAACTCATGTCAAAGGGAGCTGACAGGAGAATAGATGGGGAGAGAATGCAGGAATGAGGTGCTGGGAGGGTAGGTAAGAGAAGTCTAGGAAGGAGTTGCCTACTACTCGTGGCCACCCACTAAATATATTTAGGTACTGCAAGGGTGGTGAATGTAAGTAGCATTCTTTTAGTTTCTTCTATTGAGAGGATTATTCAGTTTTGGAGATTTTATTTTAAAAGTAAATTTTTAAAAAGTATTTAAAATATTTTATTGATTATGCTATTACAGTGGTCACATTTTTCTCTCCCTTTTTTTTCCTGTCTGCTGTGTACACCCCCCACCAGCATTCCCCCACTTTAGTTCATGTCCATGGGTCATACATACATACATACGTTCTTTGGCTTCTCCATTTCCCATATTATTATTAAGCTCCCCCTGTGTATTTTGTACCTACCATTTATGCTTCTTATTCCCTGTACCTTCCCCCCATTCTCACACATGGCCCCTCCCTGCTGCTAACCCTGCATGTGATCTCTGTTTCTGTGAATCTGTGCCTGTTCTAGTTGTTTGCTTAGTTCATTTTTGTTTTTGCTTTCTTACAGTCAGTTATTGATATTTGTAAGTTTGTTGTCATTTTATTGTTCATATTTTTGATCATCTTCTTTTTCTTCAATAAGTCCCTTTAACAAGTCATATAATAAGGGCTTGGTGATGATGAACTCCTCTAACTTGACCTTAGCTGAGAAGCGCTTTATCTGCCCTTCCATTCTAAATGATAGCTTTGCTGGATAGAGTAATCTTGCATGTAGGTTCTTGCCTTTCATGACTTGGAATACTTCTTTCCAGCCCCTTCTGGCCTGCAAGGTTTATTTTAGGAAATCAGCTGATAGTCTAATGGGAACTTTTTTGTAGGTAACTCTCTGCTTTTCTCTTGCTGCTTTTAAGGTTCTCTCCTTATCTTTCATCTTGGGTAACTTAATTATGATATGCCTTGCTGTGTGCTTCCTTTGGTCCAATTTCTTTGGGATTGTCTGAGCTTCCTGGACTTCCTGGAAGTCTATCTCCTTTGCCAGATTAGGAACTTTTCCTTCATTATGTTTTCAAATAAGTTTTCAATTTCTTGCTCTTCCTTTTGTCCTTCTGGCAGCCCTATGATTTGGATGTTGGAACTTTTAAAGTTGTCCTGGAGGTTCCTAAGCCTCTCCTCATTTTTTGTATTCTTGTTTCTTCATTCTGTTCTGGTTGAATGTTTATTTCTTCCTTCTTGTTCAAACTGTTGATTTGAGTCCTGGTGTCCTTCCCTTCACTGTTGGTTCTCTGTATATTTTCCTTTATTTCAGTCTTCATAGCCTTCACTTTTTCTTCTATTTTTGTAACCATACACAAGTATTTCTGTGAGCATCCTGATTATTAGTCTTTTGAACTCTATATCTGATAGGTTGGCTATCATTTTATCACTTAGTTGTATTTTTTTTTGGAGCTTTGATCTGTTCTTTCATTTGGTCCAATTTTTTTTGTCTGCGCACTCCTATTATGTAGTAAGGAGTGGAGCCTTAGGTATTCAGCAGGGTGGGGCAACTTGTACCACTGCATTGTGGTGCTGTAAGTGGGGGAGGGGCTCTAGAGGGAACAATGCTGCTCCTTACGGTCTGGGCCGGCTTTCAGTCACTTCCTGAGCTACCCACAAGGAAATTGGGACCTTCTGGTGCTAATGATTCCCAGGTGAGTGGGTTTGTGTACGTTCTACAAACCTGTGGGTCTCTCCGAGGAATTCTCCTGTGAGGCTGGGAATTTCTCATGCTGCTGCAACCCCCACAGAATTTTCCAGTCAGAGGTTTTAAGGCTTTTATTACCCGCACTGGACCCCTGGGTTGCACAGTCTGTCTGGCTCCCCAGTTGTTCCGGTTTATCTGCGTGCAAATGTGGGACTGCCTGCTCCATCAGCTACCACCTTGCCTACCCTGGCCACTACCTTGCCTCAAGTACTGTCCACCTGGTCTGCCCCTCTCTACCCCTCCTACTGGTCTGGATGAATATTTTTTCATTACCTCCTTAGCTATTGAATTTCCATACAGTTCTATTATCTGGCTGTTCTAGTTATTTTTTGTTTTTAAATTTGTTGTTGTCCTTTTGATTGTGCAAGGAGACAAAGTATATATACCTGTGCCTCCATCTTGGCTGGAATTCTAAGAGTTAATTTAAATTGTAAGGAAGTGTGCTTGAGCACATTAATAGCACTTGAAATTATATAATGGCCTATGGATGATATGTACACATATTTACATATTCATAAATATATATGCTTTACTTTTTTATATTTCCCAGTTATTACTTAATAATTATTAATGGTATTTAAAAATTAAACAAAGATTTATTTCTTAATTTCAGCAATGTTTTGAGCAATTGAAGTGGATTCGAAATAATGGAGATGCAGTTCAAAATTCACCTGTGGTTATACACAATAGTATTATACAATTACATTCGAAGGAAAAAGCACCTTTCAAATTCAGATTTGACATACTAACAATTCCTCTCTTACTTTCTATTTTTGATAATAGGACATTTCCAAGTTTGCAGAGAAAGACAATGTAGTTCTTGGAGAAGGTGGACTGACACTGAGTGGAGGGCAGAGAGCGAGAATTTGTTTAGCAAGGTGAATATCTGATTATTTATTGATCCAGTGAGCACTTGCCATAAATATCTTGCATGTAAAAATTATAGATATATCTCTATTTCTTTATACTGCTTTGGAATTGAAAAGTACTTGGGGCCCGAAGACTAGCTGCTTAAGAATAACCTTTAAAGACCATAGATCATAATATAAATAATATTTGTATCTGTTAAAATGATGGCTTTTTCAAAATGAATGCCCTTATTTTGGTGTTTGTATATTTGATTACCCTATGGAAGGGGTGTCAAACTCATTTTCACCAGGGGCCACATCAGCCTTGTGGTTGCCTTCACAGGGCCAAATGTAATTTTAGGACTGTATAAGTGTAACTACTTAACTAGGGACAAGGAGCTCTATATTCAGCTCTTAGAAGGCAACTGTGAGGCTGATATACCCCTGGTGAAAATGAGTTTGATGCCCCTGTGCTATGGTATGTTTTTACTACAAAGGAAAACTCTGGGATTCTGCATAGCACAGGAAAGATGTGATGTAAATTTTTGTGAAGTCCATCACATGGTCCCCCCTCACCCCCACTCTCCCCCACCTCACAGTGAACACACCTGCTCTAGGCTTCTGTTTATGCTTCTTAGTTTAGATGAATAGATATTTTCAAATTTTTCAACATAATCAATAATTCCCATAACAAGAGTAGCAAGGCAAATTATATCACTTGGATTAAAGTCAATAATCTGTAAAGACAAATAAATAAGACAAACACATTGAATACTGTGGTGTGAGATTTCATTAGTAGAGACATCCTTGGCTAAGCATTTTGAGCTGTCAAAGAGAGATGTACATACAGTTAATTTCTATTAAGAAGAAAATTTTGTGGTTAAACTGTCATGCTCGGTTTAAAAACTTATTGGTGATAAGGGATGTCAAATGTTCCTCCAGTTATATTAGAACAAAATTTTCTTACTGTCTTGTCAATTTTATTAATAAGAAATCAAATTGACTTAGTCATATTTTGGCCCCTTTTCCTTAGTATTTTTCCTGCTTTTAAAAGCTGAAACAGAAAGATAACTTCACTGAGCAACTGCAATTGCCTAGTAATATTCTAGGTTGGGTGTGTGTGTGTTATTTTACTTAGTCCCCACATTACCCTGCAAAGATAGGATTGTTCTCCCACTTTATGGAAGAAATCATGAGATTATTAAAGCTGTTAGATATTAACTTGCCAAAACTCATATTGGGGAAGGTAAAGTTACAATTTGAATTAGATCCTCTCAAGTCTACATTAAATTGTGCTTTTATCTTGGGATTACAATTTGAAGAAATAAATCAACAGATATGGATAATTCACAGGAAAAGATAATGGCATCTAAATAAATGTAAGTTGTTAGTTAACCTGTAAGCCAAAATAAGACTTATTTTAAATACTCTATTTCATACTTTGGTAAGATATGCTATATGGCTTCTAGACATTCAACATACATTTGAGTTTATATTTGCTAGTTTAAGATTTGGTTTTATTGTAAGGTGCATGCAGTTTGAGGTGCTACTGAAAGTAATTATTTTTATTCTGATTGAAATGTACTATTTGTTGTCCAGTTTTAGATGATGTAGATATTATTTCTAATCTGTTAAGAAAGTGTGATCATAGATGTTAGGGGAAGAGAGAGGTATATAGGCCTTGAGGGTATATTTTGATAAAGGTCTTTTATCTAGCTCTTACATCTTGTCTTAAAAAAAAACCTACACCGCCAAGGTTTTTCTTTTATTTTTACTTTGACCTTTTGCTTTTTCTGTAATTTTTCTTTGAAAACTCCTGATTGAACATATTATTCTTTTTACTGAGAGTACCTAGAATATACATAAACACTGAATTCTATGTGTTTGGGATGGGGGTAGGATTACTTACCACCACATCTGAAAAATTTAAATTTTATGAAGAAATTATCTTATTTCCATTAACATGGGACTATATCTTAATCCTGTTACTGTTCTAAGATCAACTTAATGAAGAATTTGCTTGCTCACAAAATTTTATTTTTTTAACTTAAAAAGTCAAATAACATGGGTATACATTTTTACTGTGAATTATTCATTCTTACCTTGTTTGGAATTTTTATAAATATGGTACAGAGTGTGAGCAAAAAGCACATAAATCACACAGCCACAGTAGCACTGTTATCAATTTGTTGGTAGTCATCTACAATGAAAAATATTAAAAAGAAATAATTTCATATAAGTGCTATAGTTTAGTTATTGTCTGACATTTTACAGGATTGAAGTAGTCTATTTTATTCTATTTTTCCCCACCAAAATGTGAAGTCTTTGAGGGCATGTACTGTGTAATTTTTATCATTGTGTTCCTGGCATATAGCACTGTGCTTTGCTCTAATTAGATACTGTCGTTAGAAGGTGTTCTTTTTTCTATTTAAAGTCATGTTTTAAATTATGTGCCCTTTTGTGACTCAGTTTGTAGCTTTTGCTAGTTTATATCACTTACTTTTAGAAAAACCATGTTAGCAATTCTTAGTGTTGTGAAAAAGCCATAAAAATCATATGTAACTTATTTTATTATTCTTCATTTAAAATTATCTACACTAAATGACATGGAAAGTACTGAGGAAATCTAACTTACTTTTTATTTTCTTTTTAGAGCAGTATACAAAGATGCTGATTTGTACCTATTAGACTCTCCTTTTGGATACCTGGATGTTTTAACAGAAAAACAAATATTTGAAAGGTATGTTCTTTGAGTAACATAATGCTCATGCTAAAAGACAAATGATTAGTGTACTATCATAGACTGCATATTTATTCCAGGAGAAATATGCCCACCATTGTGACTCAGTAAGAAGGAATTTAAAATTGCACTTAAATCTGATTTTCCCCTTCACAGTCAAGTTGCAACATCACTTACATGTAAACTTCTGACCACCTCCTGCTAAACCAATTTCTTCCATTGTTAGTGCTTTAAGATTCACTATCTATGTAGTTTTTATAGCATTATTATCTTGTGACATTATTTTACTTGGTTATTGTATTATAGTTTTTACTTGCTTTTTTGTGTTAGTATTTTATCCTATCCCCTCCTTAGATAGTAAACTTCTTAAGGAATTAAATAAGCTGAATTTTTTTTAAAAAAATCCTCACTGAGGGTTTGTTTATTGATTGTAGAGAGAGAGTGTGTGTGTGGAGAGAGAGAGAGAGGGAGGGAGAGAGAGAGAAACATCAGTGTGAGAGAGAAAAAAATCAGTTGGTTGCTTCTTGAACCTGAACCCATAATTTAGGTACATGGCCTGACCAGGAGCTGAACCTGCAACCTTTTGATGAGTGTTGTTCCAACCAACTGAGCCTCCTGGCCAGGGCAACAAGCTGCATGTTTTAATGTTTAATGTTAATGAATGCTCAGACTATTCATCTATAAAAAAGCCTCCTTCAGAACCTTGTCCTCAGTCACACAGAGCTCAGGATATACATTTCACTGGAGCTCTTAACAGGGCTCAAAGTATGTGAAGTTCCAAAGAGAAACAGTTTTATGACTTGATTTCAAAGTTTAAAAATTATTTCAATGATTATAAAGTAGTTTATTATGAGAATTGCCATGATACTCTTCTAGAAATAAAGATTTTAAGCAAAATGGGTGTAGGTTTATGTGTGTATAAAATGGCATTATTCCAGGAATTTCCAAGAATTCTTGGAAATGGCACCTTTCCAAGAATTTAGTTAAATTTAATATATAAGATACTATTTTTATAATCCTGTGACTGTAATAAGTAACTTCTTACCAACATAAACTTTGCTAGCTTTGCTAGTATATTAGAGTACACTCTAGAATTATGCCTCTTTCTGTACAACATATAATGTTTTAATACCTAAAAGAAATTGGTCTTTCTTAGGTGGTTCTATTCTGGTTCTAGAGGGAAAATTTTTAGAGGAGGGTCAATTTATCTAATTCTTAGGTTTGTTGTTTGTAGGGGAGCTTTGCCTGCAGAGCCCCCCTCCTGCTACAGATGAGAATAAATCTACCAAGACATGACCTGCTTGGGGAGAAAAGGTGGCTGTTCTCTCAAAGGAGAAGGACAAATTGATCAGCTCTAGCTTGAGCTCCACCAGCAGCTCAATGACATCAAATGCCTAATGAAACAAAAAGTGTTCCAGACCCTCCACAATAATCTACAGTGGCTGAACCCCCAAAACTGGTTTGATAGACTGAATTTATGAGTTTGGGTCATGGAAGACCTTGGGTGCCTCCTTGTCTTAATCCTTATTTGTGTTTTACAATGTATATGGAAGTTATTTTCTCATGATTGCAGTCGGAAACAGCAAATAGTAGGTTTCACAGGCTTAAAAACTACAATTGATTTCCCAAACAAAAAGGGGGAGATGTTGGAACCACCCTGCCTGGTTTCAGATGCTTTAACCACCCCCTCCCGTGGCTAAGGCTGAGTGAGAAACCTTGGGACCATAAGCCACTAAGGAGACAAAGCTTACCTCCCTGGCAGGTGTGCTCCTCTGCCCATATTACTTCACCCTGCCTGGCTCCCAGAACAAGATTGGTTAGCCAATGACAGGTAAGATTCCTCAAGAGAGGGATGAACTAAGACAGGCATGGTTACAGGGGGCCCTCAGGGAAGGACCAGGAGGCTATAACAAAAGGGGGTGATGGACCCTCATTCCTTGGCTTTGACATAGCCTGAGTCCTCATTCTGTCTATAAGAAGTCTCCTAATCTCTTGGCTTCCTTACTTTCCCTGCCTGACTTAAGCCTGAAACAATGACAGAGGGGGTGCAGCCCTGTGCTGGAAAAGGTGGGTTCTCTGGGGTGATCAGGCCTAAGAAATAATACATAAAATCCTGTGAAATCTGCTTTGCTAAAAATGCTCTCTTTTCTGATAAGGGTCTGAGCAGGATATGAGTTTGTTTCCCAAAGTTTTGTAGCCCCTTAGCTAACAGACCCTGACTCAGAATAAGCTCTCATAGTTCTTTGTGTGTCAACTATTGTTTGATCCTTACTGCCTGACAATGATTAATGAGATTTACCTGTATTCCTGTGCAAATTGAACCCAATAAAAGCCCTTTGAGGAAAAACCTCCTGGTCCTTCTCCTTTGAGAGATCAGCTACCTTTCCTCCCCAAGCAGATCATGTCTTGCTAGACTTATTCTCATCCACAGCAGACAGGGGGCTCTGCGGACAAAGCTCCCCCACACTTGTGGTTGATTTAACAAATCAGATTAGTCTTATTATAAGCCTTTGAAAACTAAATTGGTGATCAACTTAAAATTAAAAGGGAATTTAATAGAAAATTTAAAGAACAAGAAAGTTTGTACATTTTAGAAGCTACATAAAAATATAGTCCTCTACACCCTACCCCCCAAAGAATCTTTTGTTTTTGAAGTATATTTTATTGATTATGCTATTATAGTTTTCCCAATATTTCCCCCTTTTATCCCCCCTCCACTCTGCACACCCCAACCCTCCAGCATTTCCCTGCCCCTTAGTTCATGTTCATGAGTTGTACATATAAGTTGTTTGGATTCTCCGTTTCCTATACCATTCTTAACCTCTCCTCATCTCTTTTATGCCTGCCATTTATGCTTTTTATTCCTTGTACATCCATACCCCATTCTTTGCCTCCCATTCCCCACTGAAAACCCTTCATGTGCTGTCCATTTCTCTGATTCTGTTCTAGTTTTTGCTTAGTTTTGTTTCTGTAGTTTGTTTTTTTAGGTTTAGTTGTTGATAGTTGTGAGGTTGTTGTTGTCATCGTACTATTCATAATTTTTTATCTTCTTCAATTTCCTAGATAGGTCCATTTAACGTTTTATATGATAATGACTTGCTGATGATGAACTCCTTTAATTTGACCTTATCTGGGAAGCACTTCATCTGCCCTTTCATTCTAAATGTTAATTTTGCTGGATAGAGTACTCTTCTATATTGGTCCTTGCCTTTCATGACTTCAAAGACTTCTTTTCTAGCCCCTTCTTGCCTGTAAGATTTCTGTTGAGAAATCAGCTGATAGTCTTATGGGTGCTCCTTTGGAGGTAACTCTCTGCTTTTCTCTTGCTGCTTTTAAGATTCTCTCTTTATCTTTAATCTTAGGTAACTTGATGATCTGCCTTGGTGTATTCCTTTGTGGATTCAATTTCTTTGGACTCTGGGCTTCCTGGACTTCCTAGAAGTTTATTTCATTCACCAGATTGGGGAAGTTTGTCTTCATTATTTTTTCAAATAAGTTTTCAACTTCTTGATCTTCCTCTTCTCCTTCTAGCACTCCTATGATTCAGATATTGGAACATTTAAAGTTGTCCCAGAGGTTCCTAAGTGTCTCATTTTTTGAATTCTTGTGTGTTCATTCTGTTCCAGCTGGATGTTTATTTCTTTCTTTTGATTTGAGTCCTGGTTTCCTTCCCATCACTGTTGGTTCCCTGAATATTTTGCTTTATTTTACTTTGGGTAGCCTTCATTTGTTACTTCATTTTAGGACTAAGCTCAGTCAGTTCTGTGAGCATCCTGATTACCAGTGTTTGAATTCTGCATCAGATAGGTTGGCTATCTTCTCATTGCTTAGCAATTTTTCTGAAGTTTTGATCTGTTCTTTCATTTGGGCCATTTGTTCTTTATCTTGGTGCACCTGTACTTGTAAGGGACGGAGCCTTAGGTATTCTTTAGGACAGGGCAACCCTCTTTGCTGTGTTATAGTGCTGTCTTTTGGGGAGGGGTCAGAGAGGGAACAATGTGGTTCACTTGCTTGGCTCTAGCCCCACTTTTCAACAAACTCTCATGTGAAACTGGGAGTTTCTCCCACTGTGGCAACCCCCACCATAGTTTACAGCTAGCTTGAGTCTTTAGTTCCCTGTTCAGCCAGTCCTTCCAAGCTCATGCAGTGTGCTGCCTTGCCACGGGTCCTCTCAGCCAGCCCAGCCTGCACAGTCTGCCACCTTGTGGCAGGTTTTTTCTGCCCGCCCAGCTGTCCATCTCCCTCCTACTGGTCTGGGTGAATGTTTGTTTAATTCCTTGGTTGTTGGAGTTCTATGCAGTTTGATTTCCTGGCACTTTTGGTTGTTTATTGTTTTTTAGATTGGTTGTTATCCTCCTTTTGGTTGTGCAAGAAAGTGAAGGGTTTCTACCTACTCCTCCATCTTGGCTGGAACTCTCCCCCCAGGGATCTTAAATGCCATCTAACAATTCTCCATTTTCTAGATGAATGAACCAAGACCCAGAGGATAACAAGTTTGCTCAAACTTAAACATTTATTTAATAGAGGTATTTAATTTCATTTGAGGTCTGTTAACACTCAACTTTATAATATGCCATCCTATAATAATTTAATAATGCGGTATTTCATGCCATAATAACTCAAGAGGCACCAAATTAATTTGTATTAGCTACTCACTTTTATAATTATTTTAATTATAGTAACATCATATTATAGAGTTTTATATGAAAATATAATAAAATGTTAAAATGAAATATTTATTATGATACAGTATTCATAAAATTGATATCTTATTTATGTCTCATTTATGTCTTATTTATTCTTAAAGCTGTGTCTGTAAATTGATGGCTAACAAAACTAGGATTTTGGTCACTTCTAAAATGGAACACTTAAAGAAAGCTGACAAAATATTAATTTTACATGAAGGTAGCAGCTATTTTTATGGGACATTTTCAGAATTACAAAATCTACGGCCTGATTTCCACTCAAAGCTCATGGGATATGATTCTTTTGACCAGTTTAGTGCAGAAAGAAGAAATTCAATCCTAACTGAGACTTTACGGCGTTTCTCATTAGAAGGAGATGCTGCCATCCCCTGGAATGAAACAAAAAAACAATCCTTTAAGCAGCCTGGGGAGTTTGGTGAAAAAAGGAAGAGCTCTATTCTCAATCCAATCAATTCTGCAAAAAAATTTTCAATAGTACAAAAGACTCCATTACAAATCAATGGCATCGAAGAAGATTCAGAAGAGCCTTCTGAGAGAAGATTGTCCTTAGTTCCAGATTCTGAGCAGGGAGAGGCTATCCTGCCACGAAGCAATGTGATTAACACTGGTCCCACATTTCAGAAACGAAGGAGGCAATCTGTTCTGAACCTGATGACACACTCCTCAGTGAATCAATGTCAAATCACTCACCAAAAGACAGCAGCATCTACAGGAAAAATGTCACTGGCTCCTCAGGGGGACTTAGCTGAAATGGATATATATTCAAGACGTTTATCTCAAGGTAGTGGCTTGGAAATAAGTGAAGAAATTAATGAAGAAGATTTAAAGGTATGTATAAATTATTAGTGGTTCTTTTTCTTTGCCACAATACGACTGAGTGGAATACAATATATAGTGTGTTACAAAACTTACTCAGATTATGGGTTTAACGTGAGGTTTATCCGAAGACTCTGAAAGTGCAAAGTTCATAATTACAAGCAACTTCAAAATGTAAAAGAATCAACTGCTTCCTTTTGCAATAGACACATCTTTTCTCATAAAACGTACATCAAAGCAAGGGCTAGTGTTGGGTTTACTGGACAAGTGAAAGTCATTATTGTAAGTTAGAAAAATTATAAGTTATTAAAAATCATTATAAAACTGCTTATTACCACCTTAAAACCTCTCTAGGAAGAGATGGAGTATAAATAAATATGAAACAGGTAAGCAGTTTTTTAGAGCCCAGGGAATATTTCTATATGTAAGATATATAAGCATCTAGTTTCTCAGTAGGACTACATATGCTGTTTTTTTTATTCTGGTTTATATGCAATCTTACCTGATTTTAGTGTGAGCTTTTTTATCTTTTAAATTAGTTTTATACATTGGGTTTCTAGACAGGTTTCTTTTAAAGAAGGTGTGTGAAACTCAACATATACTAGCACCAGCCTTCAGATAGAAAGTTTTTTACATTAAGTTTTAAAGAATAAAATACTTCTATTTTTAAAAGAGGAAGCAATATAAGTGGAGAGGATTTGTTTAATTTTTACTAGAAAAATTATTTGTGCACATTGGATGAAATAGCATTGTAATGAATTGATACATTTAATAGAACAGATCAATTAGAAGTAGTATGACTTTTGGCAATCATACAACATTTAACATCTCTGGGCTGAGTTTTCCTCCTTTGTAAAATGAAGGAACATGATATGTTATCACTAAAATAAATACTTACAGTATTCATATAATTTTTAAATGTATTTATTTATTTATCTTTAGAGGAGAAATAGAGAGGGAGAGAAACATCAATGTATGGTTGCCTTTCATGCATCCCCTGCTGGGAACTGGCCTGCAGGGAACTGGCCTGCAACCCAGACATGTGCCCTGACTGGGAATTGAACCGCGATCCTCTGGTTTGCAGGCCTGTGCTCAATCCACTGAGCTACACCAGCCAGGGCCAGTATTCATATAATTTTTTAAAAGTTTTCCTGAAGGATAATTTATTTATGTAGTTTAAATATTAGTCTGAATGAATTTCTCAAACCTGAGCCTTATAAATTTAGTTGTAAAGAGTGATTTCTTTGATTAATACCTAGCTATTATTTATTGATTGCTTCTACTGCCAGGCAGCATATACTTAGTCCCTATTACTATCTTAGAATATCCCTATCATTATCCTCAGTTATACATAAGTGAGTAATGTTTAGAGCAGTTCAACTGCCCAAATTAAAGAAGTATCTAGGAAGTCAGTGTGGAATCCAGATTAAAAGCTACGTTTATTGTTCTCCAGAAATCTTCATACCTAACTAGTGTGCTATGTCCCAATTTCACAGGACTCCTTCTTTGAAGTTTTACTGCTTTTGTGAATTTTGTTGACTTCATGAGAAACAAAATATCCTTTCCCTTTGGACTACCTAGAATCACTCTTTTTCAAATTTTTGAAATGCATCTACATTTGACAAAAACTTCTAGGGGAATACACTGAGGAATAGAATTCTGTAATTTAAATCATAGTTAGAAAGAGAGATAATCCTAGTTCAAGTGTGTCAAACTCAGTGTCCCCGGGGGCCACATCAGCCTCACAGTTGCCTTCAAAGGGCTGAATGTAATTTCAACTCCTTAACTGTTAAGGAGTAGTTACATTTGTACAGTTCTAAAATTATTTCAGCCCTTTGAAGGCAACCATGAGGCTGATGTGGCCCCCAATGAAAATGAGTTTGACACCCCTGTCCTAGGCTATTTAGGAATTTACAAACATCTTTTGGCCCCAGGTCTATTTGGAGATTTCCACCGCTAGCAAAATTTCAAAGTACTTATCCACAGACCCCCCCCTTAAGAAATATGTTAAATCAAGTAGAGTTCTGGGAAGCTTCATTGTGATGGTACTGTTCATTTGATGAAAGATGTGACACTGATAAGCATTAAAATGGTAAAATTGCCCCCAAAACAATAGTTACATAATCAGTGATTGGCTTTCAGAATTTTGAAGAATCACGGTGCTTCTCACTGTTTGAAAAGCTGTGTTGCTTCAGTGGACATACTGGCTGAGGAGTGACACCACATGTGTCATTCATAATGGTTTATATTTATATTAAATTCACTTAGCTTCAAATAGTAATATTTTCTTATTTTCACACATTCAAAATAAAACCACATAGGTGAAACTGTATAGTCTCATAGCAATAACCATGCGTGCTTTTTTTCAGGAGTGCTTTTTTGATGACATGGAGAGCATACCAGCAGTGACGACATGGAACACGTACCTTAGATATGTTACTGTGCACAAGAGCTTAAGTTTTGTGCTGATTTGGTGTTTGGTTCTTTTTCTTGCTGAGGTAAATATTTTCTGCTCTAAAATATTACTTTGATTTAGAGTCAAAATAATAATAGTTTGGAAGGATATATGCCTATACAAGGGACTCCCCCCAAAACTCAGATTAATTCTAAAATTGTGTAATTATTTTTATATGTTTAAACTTCAGTCACTTTCAAAGTACTCTCCATTTGATGCACTACACATATTGGGGCATTTTTTCCATTGCTTAAAAAACTTTTTGAACTCATCGATTTTGATGCCTTTTAGTGGTTCTGCTGTTTTTTGTTTCACCTCTTCCACATTTGCAAAACGTTTCCTTTTGAGGATTTTTTTGTTTGTTTCTGGAGAAGCAAACAAAAAAAATCACTCCAGTTGAAATGGGATGAGTAGGGAGGATGGAGCATGGGGTTCATGCCATTTTTTGTTAAAAAATGCCCAACACGCAGCACAGTATGGGCAGGTGTGCTTGTAAATTACCCATCAATGAAATTAGCAAATGCATTGAAAGAGTCTTCAAAAAATTCACTAAAGAGGAATGCAACCTCTCAAAACAATGCCAGCTGGCACACTGATGCAGATGGGTTCCTGGAACACTCACCTGGGGGTGGGGGACACCTGTACTACCAGGGGTCTACCCTCCAGAAGATAAATTTGGATATTGTAAGGGTATATCCTCATACATGTATACACATATAAATGTATACACATAAAAATAAGTATATATGTATATATGTAACTTTACATTATAAAATGGTATGTATAGGTTCACATAGTTTTTTATAAGTATATATACTATATAAAATAGACTTTAATGCATATCTTGTATATGAAGAGTTATTACTAGAGATATTCAAAACCTCAATGTAGAATGCCTTTATATGGATTGAAATTAAACACTGAAAATCATTCTGTACTAAATTCTAAATTCATTTGACTCTAGATATTAGATTGCTAAATATGCAACTGATGAATCACCATCTTTAAATGACTTTCTTCAAAAATGAAGTAAACATATATTAGTAGCTTAGTAATCACTGTAAACAACCCTTTTACAGATTTGAATTACCCAGTTGCTTTAAGAATATTTTTGTCCAAAGCCATCATCATGTCTTCACCATGTCCCTGCTGTCCTTCACATCAGCAGGCATTAAAAAAGGGGAGCTGTAGATGGTTCAGTGGGCCACAGGATCAGTTCCACATCAACATAAGAGGTTCCTGAAGCTGATTGATAGATGAGGCTTTTCTCTAGATCAGGAGCAGCCACCTACATGGTGAAAGGGGCCTGGCAGATGGGTACAGTGGCTTTGAAGCTGAACAGAGAGCATTTAACCACCAGTCATCTAAGGGGGCAGTTGTAACTCAGCATCAGCCAAGGAGTTGTTATGAGGGCATTTGGGATCAGTTTTGCAAAATCTTCTTATTTATCAAGATAAAATGGAAGCTCAGATTTTTGTGTAAAGGTTTCCCATTTTTAAATGTGGGTAGTCATTTAAATAAAAACAAATGAACACTATATGGGCACAACAAAACACATCTGTAGATTGGATTCAGCCTGTGAATGACTACTTATTCTAGATATGTATTCCAGAGGACACTGCTGGATGTGTCCTAGTACACAACCTAAATCTAACATGAAGGCCCATGCTGCCTTCAGTGAAGAAATGAGCCAGGAGAAGAGCTGCCTTTCCTGAGGCTATATAAATACATACATAACTGAACCAAGCTGATTATTGCACTTTTGTCCTGTTATTAAGCTGTTTGTAACCTCATTTAAGAAGCCTATGTAAGTCCTGGCCAGTGTAGCTCAGTTGGTTAGAGCATCTCTCTTAACCAAAAGGTTGAGTGTTTGATTCTAGTCATGGGTACATACCTATCTCCATTGCCTCTCTGTGTTCTGGTGAGTGCCACCCTGGTCCAGATACGTAAGATACCTAAGTTGGGCATGTATAGGAGGCAACCAATTGATGCTTCTCTTTCACAGTAGTGGTTCTATCTAAAAACAAAAAAAAAGTCCTCAGGTAAGGATTTAAAAAGTCTACATAAAATATTATCACTCCTCTGTGACCATATTAGTGTTAAATATGTAAAGGTATGTCCTACAAAGTTATGCATACTATTTCACCTCTAAACCATTGGTTTCCATTTGATCTTTGGGTTCTGATATCTCTTTTGCCATACTACTATTTTATATTAATAAACCAAATGAAGGTTTGATGCAATATATAATATAGCATAGTGCCAACTCTGAAATCACACTGACCAGGCTGTGAATGCTAACTCCATCTTATCAACACTATGAAACTCAGTCAATTAGTTAACCTCCTTGACCTTTGGTTTCCTCATCTATAAAGTGGAGGTTTTAAGAATACCAGCCTCAGAGGCCATTTTTGTGGGTTAAAAGACATGATGTTGATAAAGCACTTGATGGAGGGCTTGGCACATATTGAGCAATGCTCATTCTCATTAATAGCATTAAGGCCATATTACCATTTTAAAGGTAAAAATAGTTTTAGGTGAATAAGTCCATAACACTGACAAAATGAAAGTTTCAATAATTCATTTTACACTTTAACAAAAATAGGGGGTTAGGTAATTTAACACTTCACATGAGTAATAAAAGTTGCATTGAAATGTATTTTAAATTTACCTGGTTAATGTATGCCATTCTTGCCAAATGACCAACATTAATGCTAACAAAACCCAGTCATGTGCTACATTTAATCTCAAATCAGCCCTTAATAATTGTTAATGTTTCAAACCTTTGCATTTAAAGATCACATTTCTTGATTGTTTTCAATTTATAGTGTTATGTAAAAAAAAGCAGCCCTATCTGAATGTGTTGGTGATTTATGTTAATTTTCAGGACCTTTTTCCTATGCAACTCCATAGAGTTAAACTTACATATCTTTCAAAATGGTGTAAAATTAATTAATTAGTGATTGAGCATTGAGTTTCTGCATATGTATATAATATTAGCTCACTTAATTAAAGACAATGCTTCTTTGTCTTTGGGCTAGAAACTAAATTACAGTAGACCATGAAAATGCTATATAACTATCATTATTTTTGAGCTATCAAAAATTATTACAAAAATTTTCTTTCTAATGGACAAAACAATTGATAATGTCATTTTTTAGGCAGGAATTAAAATACTAAATGATAAGCCTTTTGGTCCAATAGCCTAGAAGCATTGCCAATTAACAGGCTCTCAAAATTTTGAATAACAAAATTTTGGTGATAGTAGGCAAATAGTAATGTATTAATTATGTGCACAGTTATGCAGCTAAACAGATTACCCACTAATGTTCACAATTCTGTTGCTTTCTTTGAATCAAATTTACATAGTTTTTATTTTTGATTAAGCTCCTTTTTTAGCCTCACACAAGGATATGTTTGTTGATTTTAGAAAGAGAGAGAGAGAGATAGAAAAGGAAACATCAAACAGTTTCCTCTCATATGTGCCCTGACCAGGGATTGAACCCTCAGCTTTTTAACTTACGGGATAATAGTCCAATTTACTGAGTTACCTCACCTATCTTTTTTCCTTTTTCTTTTTAAATTATATTTTATTGTTAATGCTATTATAGCTGTCCCAATTTTTTGCCCTTTGCTCCTGCCCACTGAAACTGCCCACTGATCCCTCAGGCAATCCCCACACCATTGGGCGGGGGTCATGCATGTATGTTTTTTGACTACTCTGTTCCCTGTACTGTACTTTACATCCCCATGACTGTTCTGTAACTACTAATTGGGACTTCTTAATCCTGTCACCTTTTTCGCTTATCTTCCCAACAACTTTCCCATATGGCAATCATCAAACCATTTTCTGTGTCTATGATTCTGTTTCTGTTCTACTTGTTTATTTTGGTTTTTAAATTTAATTGTTGATAGATATGTATTTATTGACATTTTATTGTTCATGTTTTTTATCTTCTTCTTAAAGAAGACCCTTTAACATTTAATTTAATACTGGTTTGGTGGTGATGAATTTCTTTAGATTTCTTGTCTGGGAAGCTTGTTATCTGTCCTTCAGTTCTCCTGGATAGAGTAATCTTGATTGTAGGTCCTTGCTTTTCATCACTTTGAATATTTATTGTCAATTCTTCTAGCCTGCAAAGTTTGTTTTAAGAAATCAGCTGACGGTCTTATGGGAGGTTCCCTGTAGGTTACTAACTGCCTTTATTTTGCTGCTTTTAAGATTCTCTCCTTATTCTTAACCTTTGGCATTTTAATTATGCTAATGTCATCATGGTGTGGGCCTCTTTGGGTTAATCTTCTTTGGGGCTTTCTGTGCTTCCTGGACTTATATGTCTATTTCTTTCACCAGGTTAGGGAAATTTTCTGCCATTATTTTTTTCAAATAGATTTTCAATTTCTTGCTCTTTCTCTTCTACTTCTGGTACCCTCATGATGTGAATATTAGTATGGTTGAAGTTGTCCCAAAGTCTCCTGACACTATCCTCATTTTTTTCTTGTTCTGATTGGGTGTGTTTTACTTCCTTAAATTCCAGATTGCTGATGTGATTCTACTGTTGATTTGCTATAAATTGTTCTTTATTTGAATTAATGTATCCTTCATATCTGACTGAATCTTTTTTATGCTGTTGAGATTCTCACTGAATTTACTGAGCATCCTTATAACTAATGTTCCAAACTCTGCATCTAGTAGATTGCTTATTTCCATTTTGTTTAGTTCTTTTTTCTGGAGTTTTGTGCTCTTCTTTCATTTGGGCCATGTTTCTTTGTCTCCTCATTTTGGCAGCCTCTCTGTGTTGTTTCTATGTATTAGGTAGAGCTGCTATATCTCCTAGGCTTGGTAGAGTGGCCTAATGTAGTAAGTGTCCTACAGGGTACAGTGACACATCCTCCCCTATCACCAAAGCTGGGTACTCAAGGTTCACCTATCATGTGGGCTATGAACACCCTACTCATATAGTTGTGCCTTGGTTGCTGTTGACACATCCAAAGTCAACCACCTCCTGTGTTCTTCATGGGGCTAACCAGCATAGGCTATGAAGT